CACACACACACACACACACACACACACACACACACACACACACACACACACACACACTTCCAGGAATCAAAATGAACCATCTGATGTTCTGCAGCAAGGGGGTATTGTCTGCTCTGGAAGCTCATTCGTTATTCAGTCATTAGTTGGTCTCACATGACAAACCATCATCCTGTGTGATGAGCAATCTGCACAGGACAGATGCTCACGTACTTGTGTTGCCATGAAGCACTTGTCCAATTCAGTGTGTGTGTGTGTGTGTGTGTGTGTGTGTGTGTGTGTAATTTAGAGAGGAGACAAAAGTCCGTGCGTGGTCAAGTGAGAAACTGGTAGCCTACCTTTCATTGTTGTCAGCTGAGGACAACTGTCTCTGGCAGATTTGATAAGCTCCAGCGAGCTATAGTTAGTAATGTCAGCTCTATGAGTTGGTTGAAAAGGGAGACTTTGGCTGACTAATTACTGCTTCCAGCTGACTCATTGTAAAATGAGTCAGCTTTTGCTTGATACATTTCTTACAATTTTGCTGGTTTTTTTTTGTAAATGATATAAATAAATAAATAGAAGGGCACTCGGACATCAGTCAGACCTCCAACAAAGCTATTTCCTGAAGTGAAAAATAATGTGTGCATCTGCCCCGGCATTCGGCTGCGCTCCAGAACGTAATGGGTCCTTGGCCCGTGCGACACCCTTTCAAGTTTCCTGAAAATCAGGCCTGTAGTTTTTTTCCCCCCTAATCCTGCTGACGAGCAAACTCAACCGAACACTTCCTTGGCGGATGTGATAAAAGAACAGCCTGCACTCTTTAAACGCAGACTATCGGCCTTCCCACAGCCCCGTGCACATTGCTTCAGCATGAGCCTTTGTCTGCCTCGTAACAGCTGCCAACTGATCACGGTAGGCAGGTAGAAATGTAGTCCCTTTTTGTTGAGAGCTTGGCGTTGGGGACAAACTGAGCTCTTGTAATTCATTGCCCCCATGTGAGTTCCCTTAAGATTAGTTTTGCCACTATAAAAGAACACTGCGAACGCATTCAATCCACAACACGTGGACGCATTGCAGACTCAAACACGACAGGTGCACTGGCCTCCATGGGCCGGACCATCTTGTCGTTTTATGTTACACTCTCTCCATCTTCGCCCCCCCATCTCTTCTATCCATCTCTATTTACCCTCCTGCCACATGTCCCGTCACTCTCCTGCCCATCACTCTGTTCCCTCTCTCTCTCTTATTTTTGCTGCTGGATGTGTGACATTTTAATGCTTAACACACATGGCTCATCCTTCTGCGCGCACACACACACACACGAACATAGACAGAAGCAGGAGATAAACAAAGCTTTCTGAAATGCCAAACATAATTCCACACAACAGAGGAGAGCCAGCGTGTCGTAAAGTGTCAACCAAGTCATTACAACTTTAGTTGGCGCATTCTGGCTCTCAGTGGAATTTAAAGGTTATACTATACTTAACTGTCTGAGGAATAATCATGCCTATAGGAGCCACCACACTCAAAGAATGACATGAAAAGCATAGGGACGGCCACATCAAGATTCCATGTAGTCACATTTTCTTCGCTGGGAGAAAGAAGAAGAAGAAACGCGTTGGAGTTATGAGGATGTCGGCCCTCAGCATTATATCTCTGTGAGCACACCAAAAGCATTAACAGTCCTTGGATTTGTTGCCAACACTCTGCTGCTATTGATGTGTTGGAATGTCACCAGTAAGAAGCCGCTCTCTCAAGGCCACCGGTCACAAAGAAACGTCAAACCGCTATTCTTGTTGTGGACATTGTTCATCAGTCACTTTTGCACCCATGAGAGTGTACTCGGTGTGGCATGAGACAGGAGACTCGAGACTCAATTCAGCCAGCTGTGTACGCTGATTCATACGCAAGATATCAGCGAAATGAAATGAATCAAGACAGTTTACAGGCTGGGAATTGGGGAATGACTCACTAATTGACGTAGGGTGCCCACGTCATGCTGACATCACTTCTCAGACTTTTTTTTAGAGCAGCAGAAAAAGTATCTCCAGGAGTGGATGACGTATTCATTAGTTCTAGTCTATATGCAGGATCCAGTTTGGTGGGGACCAAAGCCCATGTGGTCCCCACTGCAGAAAGCTCATCAATGACAGATTTGAAACGTGTGCTGCCAGGTGGCTGCCGTTAACTAGCCGGTAAGAAAGAAAACCCAAACGCCTCATGCCTTTTGGAAAGGATAGGAAGCACTGTTTTTAACTCTGGGACGTTAAACCACAGCAGAGCTGTCAAGGTTTCCGTCTGCCACCAGTAGTCTATAATTCAGGAGCTTGTGACGGTAAAACAGTGTTCTTCAATGTTCTCCGGTGGTGTAAATGTGCTACGAAGCTTTAGAATGAGATCGCTGGTGCAGAATAGAAACTACTCCATTTCAAGTCTGATCAACACATATGCACCAAGGCCGCTCACAGCAGCTCGTCTGCTGCACACCGTCTTCATTTAGTTCTTAACAAAAAAAACACCAATCCTGGTTTTTGTTTTTTTACACTGAGAAACCGCTTTTGTACGGAGCGGTTTAAATTGCAGCCACTGTAGGAAGGGCACATGAGATTGACTTGCCAGTGTGTGTTTACATAATCTACAGAGAGGAGGACAAAGGGCGGTGTGCACAACCGGGTCCCGGCTGATGTCAAACACTTCTTCGCTCCGTCAGAAGAGACAATTGATCCATCACATCTGTGTTGATGGTTTGCAAAGTGCACTCCAAGTCAAATGAGACACTGGAGTTGAAAAGACCAATTTCATCTCATCATGACCAACTCAAACCAGATTGCTGCTAATTACTATGAGCTGAGCTGCTGAGCAACAGGAATCTCTTTATTCTCATGGACCTCACATTCGTCTCCCTACAGGTAGGAAACCCTGTATGGAATACAGCAAAGCACATGGTCATGTATCGATTAATTCATCTGAAAAGAGTTTGCTTTAACCACTGCCGACATTCATTCTCAGCTCATTCACAAGAGGAGGACATGAAATGCTTTTCTGATGCTAAACAAGCGCCAGGGCTTCATTTCTGTTAACGGAGTTATTAAGAAAACCTTTTAAAAAGTCATCGATGACATTTCAAGCTTTGAATCAGACTGAGAATTAATAACTGGAATGTGTCCTCTCACTTAGCTGCAACAGAAATGTTATACACCTCAGAGAGATTTACTTGCCTTGCCATCTTAACAGCACAGAGGACGCGTTGACCGTGATAGACGACTAGGATTGATTCACCTTGCAACGATTCATTTTCTACATTTAAAGAGTTTTTCTGGACTTTTCTCACAGCTTACAAAGAAGAAACATCTAAGAACGTGGCTACCCAATGCAAATGTACAAATTACTCGTGAGTTAAGCAGCAGAATGGAGAAATCTAAATGATAACCACGAGAGAAACATAATGTGTCAGTTCTGTACTTCTTACTTGTCTAATTATAACAGTTTATATGTAACCCTGTAACTTTCATAAACTGTAGCACGGTTGGTTCGACACGGCGTCACTGTCACGTTAGCGCAAAGCACACAACACCAAATAAAGTAGGATCTTTGTACGGCGCTGACTGCGAGCCGTTTCAGTCCGTTTGTTCAGTACTAATGGTTCAAGTCAAGACTTGAATTTACCAAATAAGCCACTTTAGAAACAAATGAAAATAAGCCCATTAAAGAGGAGTATGAAAGGCGTTCATGACACCTTTATCTCACTTGTACATGAACAACCCATGCAGCTCATTATTTTGAATAACCTCCATCTTCTCAGTTTTTGCTGATGCTGCTGCCTTGTGTCAACAAGTGTTTGCACCTGCTGATAAAACTAGAGGCCTCATGTGTTTTTGCAGGGATGGATGTAGAAGTAGTTTAAGACACAGAGTGTGTCTCAGTCTGAAAACCAAGACATAAAGAAGACATTGAGCAGGTAACGTGCATGGAGATGCAAGAAGTGTCCGAGAAGGCTGGAGCATCGCTTCAGAGAAACTCGTACTCTGGAGCTGATTCAGCACAGTTCCTTCTCTCACTCTTCTAGTTTTCACTGCATCACACCATTAACCTCACTCGACCGGCTTAAAGAGTTTGAGATGAGCTCTTATGAATCCATTCACAGCAGACCAATATAATGAAACCATCAACTTTACGGGCTGAAGAGGTCGTCGTTTTCTCTCGGTAACAGTATAAAAAGGCACATAGCAGCACCGTCACGCACACGCGGCCGAGTGTCCTACCTTGACCCCTCGCACTCTGAACTCGGCCAGGGCTCGGCTCATCTTGGAAGCTGCCGTCTGCAGGTCCTTCCCACTGGCGATGACTTTCACCAACAGGGAGTCGTAGTGGGGCGAAATGACAGCGCCCTGGAAGGCCGAGGCGCTGTCCAGACGGATGCCCATGCCCTCGCCGCTTCGGAAGACCTGGAAGGAACGGAGCAGACGAGGGGAGAGTGAAGGACTTCA